GCTGCTGCTGCTGCTGCTGCTGCTGGGGCCTGCCGCGCCGCTGACGTGCTGCTCCTCGGTGTGGCGAAAGGGCGGCTGCCGCTGCTGCTGCTGCTGCTGCACCTGCTGCTGCTTGTACCGCTCGTAGCTGCTGTCCGGCGCAGCGGCAGCAGCAGAAGCATCGGCAGCAGCAGCAGCATCAGCAGCAGCAGCAGCAACAGCAGCAGCAGAAGGAAGCAGCCGCGGGGCCTTCGGAAACCGCGGGGCCCTCGCTGGCATGTTGTTTTTATAATCTGACGGCAGCAGCTGCAGGTCTACAGTCACCACGCCTGCACGCAAACCCTAAACCCTAAACCCTAAACCCTAAACTCTAAACACTAAACCCTAATGCTCAAACGCAACACCGTGCAGATCTACCGCCGTTATCCACAGCATATACAGTAGCGTGTAGGAGCAGCAGCAACAGCAGCAGCAGTAACAGCAACAGCACCAGCAACAGCAGTAGAAGCAGCTGCTCCAACTAGAGCTGCAGAAGCCCCAGAGACTGCAACAGCAGCAACAGAAGCTGCAGCAGCAGCAGCAGCAGCAGAAACTTCAGAAGCAGCTGCAAGCGATGACGGCATTGACTAGCAGCAGCAACACCAAATGCAGCAGCACCAAGCGCAGGAGCAGCAGCAGTGGCAGCTGCAGTAGCTTGGGCAACAGCAGCAAGGCATGCCAAAGCTGCAGCAGCCAGCAGCAGCAGCAGCAGCAGAAAGTGCAGTTAAAACAGCAACTGCAGCAGCAGCTGCAGCAGCAGCAACTGGGACTACAGGCGAAGCGACCGCAGGCAAGCACAGCAGATACAGCAGAAGCAACCGCAGCGAAGCCAGCAGCTGCAGCAGCAACTGCAGCAACAACTGCAGCAACAGCAGCAGCAGCAGCAGCAGCAGCAGCAGCAGCACTTGCCTCCCTTCTCCATCCCCACGTGGGGCACGTCTTTGGGGGGCAGCTGCGAGTTGACCAAATAAGGGACTCTGCAGAGCGGCAGCAGCCGCATCATTTGCTGCCGGTCTGCTGCTGCTGCTGCTGCTGACGCAATTGCTGCTTCCAGCCCCTCCCGCGCGTCGATTTCGCACACGATGGCCCGTGCAGTCTGCTGCTGCAGCAGCAGCAGCAGCAGCAGCTGCTGCACAATGCTGAGGCGCAGAGGGATGCATGACGTGAGGCGGCGCAGCGACGCGCAAGAAATGCTGCTTTTGCTGCTGCTGCTGCTGCTGCTGCTAGGGGAAGGAGGATGCCGGCGGCCCCCGCAGGCCGGAGCTGCTGCTGTTGCTGTGGCAGCCATGTTTGCTTTGCTGCTGAGCTGAAGCAGGCAAAGGGGGGCAGCAGCTGCTGCTGCTGCCGTTGCTGCAGCAGCTGCTGCCGCTGCTGCAGCTGCTGCTGCCGCTGCTGCAGCTGCTGCTGCCGCTGCTGCAGCTGCTGCTACCGCTGCTGCAGCTGCTGCTGCCGCTGCTGCAGCTGCTGCTGGCGCTGCTGCTGCTGCTGCCGCTGCTGCAGCTGCTGCTGCCGCTGCTGCAGCTGCTGCTGCCGCTGCTGCAGCTGCTGCTGCCGCTACTACAGCTGCTGCTGCCGCTGCTGCAGCTGCTGCTGCAGCTGTTGCTGCTGTAAATGTGATGCTGCTGTTAGAGCTTCGCCGCTGCTGCTGTGTGGCTGCTGCTGCTACTGGTGCTGCTGCGTTGCTGCTGCTGCGGCGGAGGCGGCAGCGTTGCTGCTGCTGCTGCAGCGTCGCTGCTGCTGCTGCTGCCTCGCAGCTGCTGTTGCTGCTGCGCTGTTGCTGCTGCTGTGGTGATGCTGCTGCAGTTCTGTCTGGGCTCTCGAAAGGGGCCCCGGGGGCCCCTAGGGCCCCTCCTGCGAAGTGTGATTTGTGCAGAGTTGGGAAATCAAGAAAAGAAGAGAAAGGAGCTGCTGCTGCTGCAGACACGTGCTGCTGCTGCTCGGCTAGCGGGGCCCCCAAGGCCAACAGAGGGCCCCCCAGCGCCTTCTGTAACTAAAAGGGTTTTGTAATGAATTAATTTGAATAAAATGAGGTCCATTTGTTGAAAAGTCCGCTTCAAGCGCACACGGAAAACGGAGGCGGCGGTGGCTACAGCTGCTGCTGCAGTTGAAGCAGCAACAGCAGCAGCAGCAGCAGCGAATGCCGGGCTCTGGGGCTTGCATGTAATGTGAGTCAAACTGTCAGTTCTTTGGATCTCACTAAATTATATTTCATTAGTTCTTTGGGTTTTGTTTCGAGAGGTCCGGCGCCGCAAATTTAAGCGCTAACTCCTTGCCTACAGCAGTAGCAGCAGGAGCAGTAGAAGCAGCCGCGGAAGCAGCAGCTGCATGCGTTTGCTAAATTGTACAAGTATTCCCTAGTCCGGAGTCTTATTTTCCCTTTCTTTTTCTTTTCTTTTTCTATTCTCTGATTTATTTATTCATTTGATTTGCCTCCCTCAGTGGAGCTTGGGGTGTACAGACAGCTGCCGGCGGGGGCTCCAGACTGCCTGCGTTCTGCTGCCAGCATCCGCAGCTGGCGCACTGAGGAGTTATATATTTATAAAACGGAATTACATAAATAAATTTATTTTATTTTTCAATTTATTCCGAGATTCCCGATGGCGGCTTCCAGCAGCAGCCCTCTGCTGCTTCTTTCTTCAGAGAACAGCCCCGCCCTGGGCTCTCTTCTGCAGGGTTTGCTTCCTGCTGCTTCTGCTTCTCTTTCGTCTTTTCTCTCCTTTGCTGCTGCTCTTTCCGAGCCCTCTGCTGCTGCTGCCGCTGCTGCATGCAGAGAAGCGGTGGCAGTGGGCCTGTCTGCTGCGGAGCTGGAGGCGTTTGCTGCTGCTGCCCCCAAGCTGCTGTCGCTGCTGCAGCCCAACGGGCTGCTGCTGCTTGCTGCAGAAGGCAATGCTGCTGCAGAGGTACACAGGCAAATTCAAATTTGAAAATTCTTTTTCCATTTTGCTGCTGCTGCCAGCAGCAAATGAAATGCTGCTGCTGGCAGCAACGCCTCCTTTTGCTGCTACAGTTTTAATCTTTTATTCTTTTTCTTTTCAAAATTCATAAAGTGTCTCCTTTTGTCTCCTTGTTCAACAGGCAGTTAGCGCTGCTCTACACTCGTTTATTCTTTGCTGCTGCTGCTGCGGTGCTGCACCTTGCTGCTGCTGCGGCTTGCTGCAGCGGCAGCAGCGTGCTGCTGCGTCTGTTTGCTGCTGCTGCGTCGGTTTGCTGCTGGTGCAGTTTGCTGCTGCGGTGGCTTAGAGCTGCTGCTGTTTTCTGCTGCTGCTTCTGGCTTTTGCTGCTGCTGCTGCTGCTTTGGCTGCAGCTGCTGTTTGCTGCTGCTCCAGTTTGCTGCTGCAGGTGATGGCAGCAGCAGCGCGCAGCTGTCTATACGCTGGCTTCGTGTCAGTGCCGGAGACGGAGTGGACAAATGAAATAAAAGAAACAGCAGAAAAGCAAAAGGGAGTAACTCTCGTGAGGCCCAAACCCTAAACGCTAAACCCTAAACCCTAAACCCCACAGGCGGGGCCTTCTAGCTGGTGCCTCTTCTGGCGTCTTAAACCCTCAGCTGCGGGGGCAAAAACACTCTTCGGCCCTAAACCCTAGTTCCTCTAAACCCTAAACCCTCGCCTTTCCAGCTCGGGGCGAGCGCAAAACGGCAAGAAACCCTAAACCCTAAACCCTAAACCCTAGGCGGGGCAAGCTTCGCTGCCTCCCAGATAGCAGCGAGCTCTAAACCCCAAACCCTGAACCATGCATTTTGCTGTGCAACCTTTCTGGGGTTTATTCCCCCTTTTAGGGTTTGCACCGGAGGCCCCCCTGGGCCGTGGGGGCCTCTGCAGCAATTGGGGCTTCTGCTGCTTCGGGGCTGGTGGATGAAGACGCCCTCGTGGACCCCAGCGAGACCTACAAACCCTTGGGAAAAGGTCCAAACCCTAAACCCTAAACCCTAAACCCTAAGCCCTGCCGCGTCCTCGGGAGCTCCCCACGCTGCCGAGTGCCGCGGCGGCGCGCTCTCTGCTGCGTCTAGGGGCCCGTGTGCCGGGTCCGTGTGGGGCCCAGTGCCTAGGGTTTAGGGTTTAGGGTTTAGGGTTTAGGGTTTAGGGTTTGGGCGTTCAGGCCGGAGCGACTGCGCGTCGCGGCCGCGGGCGTGCGCGAACTGCACCTGCGGGCGCAAGGAGGCGGAAGAAGCTGCAGCAAAAGAAGCTTTCAAAAAAGAACTGGAGACTGGAGCTGTGCGGAGTTCCTGCGGCAACGTGAGTGGCCGGGGTGTACGTACACCCCGCTACAGTGCCCCCAGGTGTACGTACACCCCACACTCCACCCCTGCTGCTGCGTGTGCTGCAGTGCTACTTGGGAGACGCCTTCAGATGTGCAGGATGCCCCTACAGAGGTCCGTCTGGGGTTTAGGATTTGGGGTTTAGGGTTTAGGGTTTGGGGTTTAGGGTTTGGGGTTTAGGGTTTGGGGTTTAGGGTTTGGGGTTTGGGGTTTAGGGTTTGGGGCTTAGGGAGGTTTGAGATTCCGGATTTTGTGTTTAGGGCTTCCGGCGTTTCGCCCTGGGGAGAAGGTAGACCTGTCTTCGGAGGCTCGGGGCGGCGCTGCTGCTGCAGTTGCTGCTGCTGCTGCAGTTGCTGCTGCTGCGCAGCCAGCAGCGGACGCAGCAGCAGCAGGCGTGACTGTCGCAAAGGGCAGCAACAAAGTTCTTTTGACTTCTCTGGAAGACGACATCTGACTGTTCAGCTGTCTGTACACCTGGGCAGCAGCAGTCTCGAGTTTCTTTCACTTCTTTATTTTCAATTTCCACTTTTCGCATTTCAGCAGCTCCGCGGCGCTTCTGCGTCCAGGTGTACATACACCGCAAGTCCGAGCTGCCGGGGGCCTCTCAGGTGGAACTGAGGCCTCAAAGGTGTCTTTTTGCGAAAATGAAACTGAAAAATAAACATTTAAGCCGTTTTATCTTCTTGTTTCTGCTT